GCGGAGCCACTCACCTACCGCAGTCTGCTGCTCCTCCCGGGGCAAAGCTGAGGCGGCGGCCGCGGCACCTTCACGGAGACATTAGATCCACAGCGGGGGCGCTCAGCGGGGCCGGGGCCCGGCGGCGACCGGCATGTTGCGGAGGGCTGGGCGGCGCGGCTGGGAGCTCTGGTCACGGCGGTCCCGGAGCCCCGGCATAGACCGCCGCCTCCCGCCCGCAGCCTCCCGCCTTCGACCCCGGCGAGGCTCGGAGCGAGTCTGAGCCGCCCCCTGCCCGGTCCATCACATTTCAGCGGTGACTGGCGTGGAGCGCTGTCCCCGCCCGCCCGCCGCAGCCGCCGGCCCACCCCGCGGCGCGCACAGCCCCGCGCTCGGGGCCGCGCCGCTCCGCCCCGACGGGACGGGACGGGACCGCCCCCGGCCGCGGCCCCGGCCCCGGCCCGCCCCGCCGAGCCGGCCCCACTGTTTACTTGTGTTTGGGTAGCAACTGGGCTTTAAAGTGGCAGGACGCCCCCCGCTCCCCCCGTGTCACCTAAGGTGACTTTTCCCTCCGAGAACAGCTCGACGCCCCCCGTCCCTCTGCCGGCCGCGGATATTTGCGCTCTCCTTGCGTCTCGCCGCCCATCTAGGCTGCCCGTCGTGCCCCAGCTGGGGTGACATAGGCGGCCCTATTGTCGTAAATATCTAAAATAACACACCCAAACTTAGAGCGTGTTTTTTTTTTTTGTGGGTGCCCATGTCGCCGAGAGTGGATGCAGATAGTGCTCACGTCCAAATGGGCTTGTGACCGTCATGTCGGGTCGCCCTATGCACCGTCAGCGATTCGGCGCTGCCCTTTCACTGCGACTGAGCCGCCTAAGGGCAGATTCGGGAAGAGAAGCTCTGCGGAGGTATCCGCATTCGCGGTGACTAAGCACACAATCCCTACCTGGAACAAACACATAGTTTCGAAAGCAGTTTCAATTTATTACCGGGGAATTTACTGCTAAATGAGGCCGCCCTAACCCTCTTCAAATGTCTCGATTAGGTAGCTCTATTCACGTTCTCCAATAGCTGCAATGCGACTGGTTGCATATGTCAGCTTTGGGTTACATTTTTTATCTGTAATACTATCTTGTTATGTGCGTTATTTCAATCACATGTATGGGGAATTTATCGTATGATCTGGACTGGAAATTGGAACTAAAATTGGAAAAGGACAGAAATATGTCGGGAGAAATGGCACTTAAATGATATCTTTGAAAAATTTTCAAAGGTAAGGTCTATGCTGGTAATTCAAGCCCGAGGTAGAGAAGAGGACATAAATTACAGCTGTATGGAGATTTATTTTTTTTCCTTTTAGTGTACAGTAAGAAAAAATTAATTGAAGAGGGGAATAAGAGTCGGCAGAGGAAGTTTTGGCCGTGTCCCCTCACAGGGCAGCCCAGCCGGGGATGGCGCATGCTGCAGCCCGCGGCTGCCGCTGGCCGCCGGGGCTGTTTTTCGTTTCTTTTCATAGATCCCTGCTTCGAAAATGCTCTGTTTTAAATCCCAGACAGACTAAATAAATGGAATTTATTCTCCCGGGCAGTGAGAATACGGAAGTTCACAATTCCGGGAGAAGGAGCGATTTCCTCGGTTCGGGTGTGAGGTGGGTGCGGGCCGCCTCGGGGAGCCTGCAGAGGACAAGGGCTCGTCGGCAGCGCCTGGGCTGGGGGAGTCCGGCAGCACGCGGGGGCAGGACCCTCATACTCTCGTTTTGCTTTCTCGAAGGAGGTCGGTTGCTTCAAGAACGAAGCCAAAAAGGGACTTTAGAGTCGCAATTTCTTCCCCGCACTGCTGGTGTCTGGATACCAACAACAACACCCCCGGACCCAAGGATCAAAGGGAAATTGTTTCGGGAGAACCATCATTTCTTGCCCTTTACAGCAAGTAGAAATAAGCCGCACTTGTGGAGGAAAAAAAAAATATATATATGTATTTAACAACCAGCCCAAAATCAAAACCAGAATCTAAAAAAATCCCCCAACAACAACGACCTCCTCAAATCACAAGCCGACCAGACAACGAAAAAGCCTCAAAGTGGAGGGAACTCGGGAGGAGGACTGTGCTGTGCGACGTCGCTGCCCGGGCTGTTCGCTCCCGGGCTGCTCGTGGTACCTTTCGGCTACGCCGCGCTCTCCCACCACCGGCAGCCCGTCCGCGCTGGCCGGGAGCACCCGGTGACCCCGGCGCGACTCCGGACTCCTCCCGGCCCGGCCGGCAGGTGCGCGGCGAGAGCCGACCGCGAGGCCCATCGGTAATGCTGTCTCAGCTCCGCACCAGCCAGAGCCCGGGCTCGCTCGAACGCCGGGGGACTCCACGGCAGCGGCACCCGTCGAGCAGGGATGACACTAGCCGGGCCACGGGCCGCCGGGTCCCGCAGGAGCCCAGCACTCCCGTGTCACCTTTCCGCGTCCACCTGGGGCGAGCCCCTCCCGCCCCCCAGGCACTCGTCCCTCTCGGCGGGGCCGCTGTGTCGGGCCGGGCGCGGGCACGGTCGGGCGGCGCGGGGGGAGCGCTGTGCCCGGCGGCCGCGGCCCGCGGTGCTGCAGCGCCCCCTGCAGGTCGGAGCGGAGCCCTGCGCGCTGCGCCCGCCCCGGCCGGGCCCCGGCCCCGCCGTGGGTGTCCCGGCCGACCCAGCACATTGGGATGGGAGTCCCGGCGGACTGTCCCAGAGCCGGGCTGTCCCCGCACCGCCCGAGAGACGGCGGCCGAGGGGCGCCGAGGAGAGCGGAGGCAGCACCGCTATCCGCGGGCGTCCGAGCGCTCACCTCGTACCTCCTTCTCCCACCCGCGCGTCCCGCCGGTGCAGACATCGCCGCGGTTATCTCAGCCTCCCTCTGCTCTCTCTTCCTACACCGCACCGCACCCCCCCCCCCCCCCCCCCCCCCCAAATAAATTCATCCGGAGCGCTGGATCCCGTCCAGGGGAACAAGGAGATAGGCAGTGTTTGTTCTTGCTGCGGGGAAGAGATTAAAGCGGTTCCTCCGCGGCCGTGAAGCTTGGGGCAAACCTTGACCATTCGCCCCTTTCCGAGTACAGAGATGGGAGAGGGCAGCGAGGCCCCGCAGAGGCGCTTGTCGGGCCCCACCGCAGGGCACCGTGCGCGGCTGCGGTGCGTGATGCATGCACGGAGCGCTATCGGCAGTGGGGGGCCGCGGCCGCTGGAACTCATCCTCGCGAAAATGAATGGGGCAGGGTCTTCAGAGGGGATCAGGGGTGCGCCCGCAGCCGGCGTCGGAGGGAGAGGGGTCAGCGGGTACTCGGGCTGGCTCCGGTTCATGACGGGGGCTACGCCAAGGGAACGGGCCGGCAGCACAGTCCCGGTGCAGGGCACCGCTGCACCCTGCTTTGGGAAGCGACCCGAGGGCCTCCGACGGCCGCTGGCTCACGGGAGCTCAGCCGGGGCGTGCAGGGCAGAGCGGTCGCTGGGCAGAGAGGGCAACCGCGGACCGAGCCCAGCCCTGGGCTAACCCCGGCTGACAGGCCGATGCGGCGAGCGACTCGGCTACACAGCGAGTACTTTTTTTTTTTAGTTTTTTTTTTTTAAGGAAAACAGTGACCGCCCGATTATCTGGCATCTGATTTCGCTGGTGTTTTTTGGTGACTAAATCATCACAGGCTTCGCTTCGATTTATTGGGTGGGATATTCTGTTTTGTTTTTACTGAACTAGTCAGGAAATGCCAAGATTTAACAAACAGGCGTAGGCGGCCGGGGACGCGGCGCTTGGCAGGCTCCGGGGGACACCGCCGCTGCAACTCCCGCTCAGCGTCCCCTTTTTCCCTTCTCGGACACAGATCCCCGTAGAATATCGCCGCGATTTATCTCCATGAAAGAAGAAAGTAATTAAGCACGCAACGACCTCAGCGGGCTGGATACTGCCCGCGTTTCCCCCGGACGTTCAAGCCCCGCCACCCACTGGCCCTGGGCCCCTGCCCGCGGTCCCGGCCGCGGGGCTGCCCCTGGGTAGCGGGGAGCGGGCCCAGCAGCCTCACCCGCGGCACCGCGGCTGCCGCCCCGATGTGAATCGCAGCCGCAGCCAGCCCGACGGGTGCCTCCTCCTCCTCTTCCCCTCTCTAGGGAACACAGAGCCCCGGGGGGCTTTTGGTCTCCGGCCACAGCCGAGCCCCGGCTCCCCGCTCCCGAAGCTCCTGGCTCCACGTCGGACGCGGCGGAGCTGACGGGCGCACCGGGAGAAGCGTCAAACCGCCTCTGACCGAGTCCGTCTTTGCCGTGTGCACAGCGCTGGGGGCCGCTCGTCCCGCGGAACTTGCGCCGTGGCGCAGCTATTGCCTCGGTGCAATAGCGCGGTGCGGATGGGGTGATGGATGGTGCGGATGAGGCCGGCTGCGGTGCTGCTGCCTTGCCCCGACGGCGGGCCCCGAGCTCTCAATAAAAGGACTTTCCTAGTCTAAAATGCTCCTTCCCCGGCCATCAGCAATGAGAGGTTTTTGTGGTGTCTGAAGTGAACAGATGTCAAGACATAAAGAAATACAACATCCTTGCTCTAGTTTGGTTTAAGCAACTTTTCAGCTAAAGTCTTTCCTGCCATCAGCACAGAAACACTGAGCAGGGCTGTGCTGCGGAGCCACAGAGACCCATTGCACAGGAGTGGGCCCCTTTCCCATTGCTCCATACCTCACTGCTGAGCCCCCAAGCTGAGCCTTGGGACTGCGGAGGGTCCCCAGGCTGACAGGCTCTGCTTACTCTCTGGCAGTGGCATTTTCCCTCTCTTGGCAGACAAGTCAAAGGACACCTGCAAGGTGAAGGTCGGCAGAGCTTCAGGGCTGCCTGCCTGCTGCACGGCCATGGGTTTGTAGACTACACTCCTGAGTTCAGGCTCCTATAAAGTTCTGCAGCTGAGTCAGGCCGAAAGGATAATGAAGTTTGCAATCTCTGATCCAACTTCTAGGGGGGAAATCTAAAAGAAATATTGTATAAAAGCGATAAATTGGTTTAAGAAATGCAGTTGTACTTTCGGTCACATGCCTCGTAACTCACCTAGGACATGAGAACTCCAAGGCAGCAGAGAACAGATCCATATATCTTCTCCTGTGGCATATATTAAGTAACTCCATTTCCTTTTAAGAACTTGCAATATCCCAGTGAATAATTTGGTTTCACAAATAAAATTAATATTATAGGGTGTAAGTCAACAAACAATAGAAAAGCTCAGAGAGTTTTTTCCAGTTGTAAACATGCAGAATCC